CTAAACCCTAAACCCTAAACCCTAAACCCTAAACCCTAAACCCTAAACCCTAAACCCTAAACCCTAAACCGAACCCCAGTCTAGGGAGGGTTGAGGCCCCGCTTCTGAGAAGGCTTTCGGGATGTTGCTGCCGGGTTTTAGGGTGTAGGGTGTATGGTTTTAGGGTTTAGGGTCTAGGTTTTAGGGTGCTACCAGCCCTCGATGAACCTTGTTGGCATCCTACACCCAAGCCCGAGACCCCAAACCCTAAACCCTCAACCCTCAACCCTAAACCCTAAACCCGAAACCCGAAACCCTAAACCCTAAGCCCCACACAGCAGCTCAAGTTCAGCCCAAGTGCCCTGGCAGGAGCTGGTCAACCCCTTCGCAAAGCAAGCAGCCGAGCAGGATAAGTCCGAAGAGAAGAACTACAAGATTTCCTGCTTCGGCCTGAAGGCGCGTCTTGGGGGGTTTAGGGTTTAGGGTTTAGGGTTTAGGGTTTAGGGTTTCGGGTTTAGGGACAAGATTTCCTGCTTCGGCCTGAAGGCCCGTGTTGGGGGGTTTAGGGTTTAGGGTTTTGGGTTTAGGGTTTAGGGTTTAGGGTTTCAGGTTTAGGGACAAGATTTCCTGCTTCAGCCTGATCGCGCGTTTTGGGGGTTTAGGGTTTAGGGTTTAGGGTTTAGGGACAAGATTTCCTGCTTCGGTCTGAAGGCGCGTTTTGGGGTTGATGCTTGGGCTCCTTTGAGGCAAGCCCCTAAGCTCTACACCCGGAACTTCAAACCCTCATCAGCCAACCAAAACCCGGGGCGTTCTCGGCATACCTTGGGCCCCAAGTGATGTTACAGGGATTAGGGTTGAGGGTTTAGGGTTTAGGGTTAGGGACAAGAGATAGGTTCGGTCTGGAAGTAAAGCGAGTTATGGTACGCAAAGTCCGAGTTCTAACAAGCCGTGAACACGCAGTACGTAACACAAACACAAAACGCTGAATGTCCTGAATGGATGACTTCTGAACCTTGGGGGTGTTCAGGGTGTTCAGGGTTTAGGGCTTCGGGTTTACCCTAGACCCTAAACCCTAAACCCTAAACCCTAAACCCTAAACCCTAAACCCTGAACCCTGAACCCTAAACCCTAAACCCTAAACCCTAAACCCTAAACCCTAAGCCCTAAACCCTAAACCCTAAGCCCTAAACCCTAAACCCTAAACCCTAAACCCTAAACCCTGGACCCTAAACCCTAAACCCTAAACCCTAAACCCTAAACCCTAAACCCGAAACTAAACCCTAAACCCTAAACCCAGAACCCTAAACCCTAAACCCTAAACCCTAAAGTTTTGACGGGTCGAAAGCAAGCCGCGATCCTAAACCTTTTGGCCGTGAACCCTTCGATCGAGCGGAGAAGCACCTGGGAACATCCCTGTACCCCCAAAAGCCTCAACTCCACAACCCCATAACCGATAACCCTACAACCCTACATCCCTACAACCCTATGATCTTGCACCCTCAACCCTACGACAGAACCGTGCCCCAGCCAACAACGCCGCATAACCCCATATCTTTCTGAGCCCATATACGCCCCTTTAACCCAATAGCCCCCGTAAACCCAAAAACCCCTAGATTATAGACCCTCATACGCCCTTTGAACTCTATTAAAACCTTTCCGCTCTAAACCCGACCTAAGCCCTTCGTAAAGCAAAGTAACTCGTAGACGCCCTCAGGCCCTAAGCCTCTACCGTGGAAACCCTGAACCCTAGAGCCATAAAGCCCGAAATTTGACCCTACTGTGCTCACAGTCCTTTAGAGAGATTATAGTACCACCCTACTATAACCCGTATTAAGGACTGGTAGTATAGGGGGATACGAAAGAAGCCCTAAACTGAACCCCAAAACCATAAGAAACCCTAAACTGAACCCCAAACCCATGAGAAACCCTCTATTGATTCTTACAAGTCTGTAACCCTAAACCCTAAACCCTAAATTGGGTGTCCCCTTGAAAATTGAACCCTACAACTCTGTAACCCTCTAGTCCTTGCAACCCACAGGCGTTCATCGAGTCGGTCCTCCGGATGGGTTTGGGCTACTTGGCGCCTAGATGCCGGCGGTTTAGGGTTTAGGGTTCAGGGTTTAGGGTTTAGGGTTTACGGCTTAGGGTTTAGGGTTTAGGGCTTAGGGCTTAGGGTTCAGGTGCAACAAAAAAGGGAATGGGAGGTTCATCGGGGTAGTTGCAAATATGGGGCTGCGGAGTAGGGTGGGGTCTCTTTTTGGGACATGAAGGCTCCATATTGTAGAAGGGACCTCAAACCCTAAACCCTAAAGCCTAAACCCTACACCCTAAAGCCCGGGACCGTAGTTTAGTTGCCCTACAGATTGTATGTAAGGGTTCTGAGCTGTGGCCGGAAGCAAAATGATTACCGCTGGTTTAGGGTTTGGGTTTAGGGTTTAGGGTTTAGGGTTTAGGGTTTAGGGTTTAGGGTTTAGGGTTTAGGGCTTGGGGTTTAGGGGAAGATGCCGCCCACGATAAAGATGGGGATGATCTTCACACCTCTCCATCCTGGCAATCTTCTCCATAGGCAGCGAGCTCGCCAACTTTTAAAATGCTGCCTAAACCTTGAACCCTAAACGCTGAACCCTGAACCCTAAACCCTACACCCTAAATCCTAAACCCTAAACCCTAAACCCTAAGCCCTAAGCCCTAAACCCTAAACCCTAAACCCTAAACCAAAACCCTAAACCCTACAAACCCTGCACCCAGGGCATCTGTCCTTCCATGGGACCCCGGAGCAGTCGACGCTGCCCGCCACCACGAAGGCGGGCGTCTAAACCCTAAACCCTAAACCCTAAACCTTCTCAGGGTACTGACATGGGCCCTTAATATGGCCCTTACCGCCCTTAAAGGGCTCCCAAGTATGGGCCCTTAATCTATATAGGGTATATGAGGGGTATATAAGGGGTCCCCATTTAAGGGCCCATACTAAGGGACCATGTACCTACCCTTAGATAATAACCTACTATGCTAATACCCTGATACTCTAGTCAATATCCTAATGCCCGAATACTCGAATCAATACAACCATGCCCTAAGCTGAAGCCTGAACCCTCTAAACCCTCTGAACCCTCTAAACCCTCTAAACCCTCTAAACCCTCTAAACCCTCTAAACCCTCTAAACCCTCTAAACCCTCTAAACCCTCTAAACCCTCTAAACCCTCTAAGCCCTCTAAACCCTCTAAACCCTCTAAACCCTCTAAACCCTCTAAACCCTCTGAACCCTCTGAACCCTCTGAACCCTCTGAACCCTAAACCCCCTAAACCCTAAACCCCCTAAACCCTAAACCCTAAACCCTAAACCCTAAACCCTAAACCCTAAACCCTAAACCCTAAACCCTAAACCCTAAAACTAAACCCTAAACCCTAAACCCTAAACCCTAAACCCTAAACCCTAAACCCTAAACCCTAAACCCTAAACCCTAAACCCTAAACCCTAAACCCTAAACCCTAAACCCTAAGCTGAAGCCTGAACCCTCAAAGTCCAGGCGCTGTGGATAATCACGCACATCCAGCAGCAGCTCTCGGAGCAAGAGCGTTGGCTGCATCTGAGGGTAGGTGGGTTTAGGGTTTAGGGTTTAGGGCTTAGGGTTTAGGGTTTAGGGTTTAGGGCTGGAAGCCTCGCTGGCGCCAAGCCGCATATCGCTCAAACCCTAAACCCTAAACCGTAAACCGTAAACCGTAAGCCCTAAACCCTAAACCCTAAACCCTAAACCCTCAACCCTAGGGTTAAAACCCTCTCTACCACACACACACATATATATATATATATATTGAAACCTTAATCGGTTGAGGCTGCTTCATTTTGAGAATAAGGCCGCTTTATTTTCAGAACAAGGCCGCTCTATTTTTAGAATAAGGCAGTTTTTCTCTCAGAATAAGGCCGCTCTATTTTCAGAATAAGGCCACTTTATTTTAGGAGTGCTGAACCCTAAACCCTAAACCCTAAACCCTAAACCCTAAACCCTAAACCCCAAACCCTTAACCCTAAACCCTAAACCCTAAACCCGAAACCCGAAACCCTAAACCCTAAACCCTAAACCTTACTTAAGCCCAAACTTCAGCTGAGGAAAAGACCGAGGATGAGCAGCAGGGTGTGGTCCCTTGGCCCGACTTCGAATCTGCAGGGATGCAGTTATAAACCCTAAACCCTAAACCCTAAATCCTAAACCCTAAACCCTAAATCCTAAACCCTAAACCCTAAACCCTAAACCCTAAACCCAAACCCCAAACCCTAAACCCCTAACCCCTAAACCCTAAACCCAAAACCCAAGCCTGAAGCCCGAACCCTTCAACCCCACAGTCCCGGCGAAGTCCGAATGGACCGATTGCCTGCACTGGGAACTGTTTACCACTGCAGAGTATTCAATAGTCATAGTACGTGTCATTGACTTGTGAGAGTGGTTTCTCACAGCTTCGTTGAGTTCGCTCGAATGCTAAAAACCTCATCCGACATGAGAGCCATATGTGTGATACAAAAAGGCCGGAAGTCTCCCACCTCCGCAAACGTTTCACTCAGATGATCTAAGTTCAGCTTACCTAGAACATGAATAAACATGCTATAGCTGTAGAGTTAGCCTACTTTTGTGTTCTCCCAGACCCCACGAACCCTCAATGACAGCCTGACCTCTAAACCCTAAAACCCTAAACCCTGAAACCCTACATCCCTAAACCCTAAACCCCTAACCTATGTCCGAAATTGATGTCATGGACACCCTGTTTCGGTGTAAGGCTGAGCAGGCTTCCTCCAGAAATGTCGTACAGTGGACCCCCCAGTGCTGTAGGTAGTCGGGCGGAAAACACACCCCTAAACTCTAAACCCTAACCCCTAAAGCCCTAACCCCTAAAGCCCTAAGCCCTAAAGCCCTAAACCCGAAACCCTAAAGCCCTAAACCCTAAACCCTAAATCCTAAACCCCAAACCCTAAACCCTAAAGCCTAAAGCCCTAAACCCTAAACCCCAAAGTGCCCTGGAAGGATGGCATGGACGTGAACAAGCGGGTTGCCTGGGAGGCAGCCTTGCAGCAGTTCGGCAACAAGAGGCCTGGAAAGTTAAGGGTTTAGGTTTTAGGTTTAGGGTTTAGGTTTTAGGTTTAGGGTTTAGGTTTTAGGTTTAGGGTTTAGGGTTTAGGTTTAGGGTTTAGGGTTTAGGGTTTAGGGTTTAGGGTTTAGGGTGTAGGGTTTAGGGTGTAGGGTTCTTTTGGGGGGTTTAGGCTTTAGGGGTTACAAGGGTGTGGAAGGGGTTGAGGTTTAGGGGTTCAGAATTTAGGGGTTTAGGGTCTAGGGGTTTAGGGTTTAGGGTTCTGGGGTGGGGGGGTTCAGTGGTGAGGATGGGAACCTTTTGAGGGTTTCCGGGCTTCAAAAGGTTCCCAGAGACTCCTTCATGCAAAAGGGTTCATGGGTTCAGGTGTCCGGTGGTCTGGCTCTTTGGGGTTATGCTTTGTGACTCTTGCGTCTTTTATTTCGGTGATTGCTTGATGCAAGTTCAGTCTTGTGAGCTTTCATCACGATGCCCCTAAGAGACTTGGGGTACTCCCGAACCCTTCCAAGTACACCCCAAATGCCCCCTTAAACCACCGTGTGAGGACCCTAGTGCAACAGGGATCCCCGAAAAAGAGGACCCAGAGTTCACAGGCCTGACCATCCTGACCAATGCAATCTGTGTTTCTTGCTAGCAAAGACCCAACCTTGCGCGCGCAGGAGATCTTTGGACAAGGTCCTCGAGGAATTCCGCGGCGTGGTGATGAGTTAGACACGTGTCAAATCTGCCTTCCGCCCTTCGCCTTCTCCCTCCGACTCTCTCTCTCTCTCTCTCTCTCTGCTGTCTCTCTCCCCTCTCTCTCTCTCTCTCGCTCTCTCTCCCTCCATTGTTGCTTCAGGTTTTGGAAACAACAGAGACTGAGCTTTGGGAGTCGCTATGTTCTTCTTAAGCCCGAACCATGGAGCTCTCGTCAAAGAAGACCTTAGCCTTACACAAGGCTCTGCTTGTCATGTACCGCCCTAAACGGAACCTAAACCCAAACCTCCCCTGTATTTTGGGATGTTCCCTCTTATACTAACAGTCCTTAATAGGGATTATTGCAGGGGTACGAAAATCTCATTAATGACTGAAAGTAAAAAGGGGGAACATCCCAACCTTCATTGCTTTCTTGAGAACCCAGAGGTAGCACGCGCTTACCTCATGCAAGAATACTCAGCCACCTACTCTGCACCTACAAATGTCTTGCAGACGTGGTGCAATGCTTTAGGCGAGGAATGCGAATATCCCTAGCCCAGCACAGTAGAAGCTATGTGATCTCCTACCTCCAACTGCAAGTCGATGTGCGCGCGATGGTCACTCAGCATTGTGCGAATGACCAAAACCCTAAACCCTGAACCGTACAAACCCCAAACCCCACAAACCGAAAGCTCCCAATCCATCAGAAATCCGCAAACCTCCCGAACCTCCAAAACACCGATGACCCCAATCCGTGACGCCCTATCGTCCCAAATCCCACAGCCCCCCCAAAAAACAAACCACCCTAAGCCCTAAACCCTAAAGTTGCTAATCTCCGTAAGCCCGAAACCTCAAAGACCCAAAGACCATGAGTGCCTGAGAGAGCCCTAGAGCCCTGAGGCCAACTCGGCTGGGGCCTGAGCTTTCTCCGCATGGGGAATCCGAAAATAGGGGTTTAGGGTGTAATATAGGGAGTAATTAGAATAGGGTTTTGGGGGGGGCTATTGCAGTAGAATGTTAAAGGGACCATAAGGAAAAGTATGAGAAATCGTTCCCACCCCTATATTCGGGTGTTTCCGATCATAAGGGTTCATGAGGTTTTCGTCTTTTGGGGTACAGGAGGAGGGGAGGGCGTGCCCACATCCACATCTATGGGGCTTGGGGCGGCCGGGGGGGGGGGGGGTGGTTGGGGTACCCTAAACCCAAAGCACGAAACCCTACACCCTAAGGCCGAGCTACTTGGAGGATCGGGGCACTTAGTAAGCAGGGATATAAGTACCTCAATTGGGTTCTGAGTAGCTATAAGTGTAGTTGCCTTACTTATAACCCCACTTGCTAAGTCCCCTGAATATTTAAGCAGCCTTGCTCACCTGTCTCATTCTCAGACATGGAAGCAGGTGATGCCCGACAAACTCACCCTAAACCCAACTCCTAAATCCTAAGCCCCAACCCTAAGCCAAACCCTAAACCCAAAACCCTAAACCGCTGCAGCCTGCGACTCACATTCATAACGGCTGGAGGGCAAGGCTTACGCACGGACCTGGATCTGACGGAAGACACCAAGCCCTTTTTGTTGGTCTCGGATTTAGGGGTTCTTGCTGCTGTTTAGGGGTTAGTTTAGGGTTCAGGGTCTAGGGTTTAGGGTCCAGGGTTTAGGAAGGCGAGACAAGGTGGGAGCCGCGGGGGTTAACCCTGTTGGAAAAAGGGTTTAGGGTTAGTTCTGCTAAGGTTTAGGAGGTTGAGTTTAGTGCTCCAGGAAAATGCTGTTGTTTCCAGGGCTAAACCCTTAACCCTAAACCCTAAACCCTAAAACCCCTTTGTTTTTATGCTAGGTTTCTGGGTCGGCTTTTCGGGACCCTTTTTCAAGACCACCTTGGGGAATGCGAAGCTCCAGGGTTGAGGTTTGGGGAATATAGGGGCCGTAGCTTTGGGGGCTGAGGGTTGGGGGCTTAGGGATGTGTGCGCTACTAAACCTAACCCTAGAAAAAAACCCTAACACTATAATTTCTAAACCCTAAACCCTCAACCCTCAACCCTCAACCCTCAACCCTCAACCCTCAACCCTCAACCCTCAACCCTCAACCCTCAACCCTCAACCCTCAACCCTCAACCCTCAACCCTCAACCCTCAACCCTCAACCCTCAACCCTCAACCCTCACCCCTCAACCCTCAACCCAACCCTCAACCCTCAACCCTCAACCCTCAACCCTCAACCCTCAACCCTCAACCCTCAACCCTCAACCCTCAACCCTCAACCCTCAACCCTCAACCCTCAACCCTCAACCCTCAACCCTCAACCCTCAACCCTCAACCCTCAACCCTCAACCCTCAACCCTCAACCCTAACCTGTGCACCCTAACCGCTGGTGCAAAAGGCCGAAAACCATAAAACCCCTAAAGCCGAAACGCTGAATTCTAAAGCCTGAAAATCCTCCTGCAGCCCTAAAACCCTCGAACCCAAGCCCTAAAACCCTAGAACCCTGCCTAAAACCCTAAAACGCTACAAAACTTAACCCTAAGACCCTAAAACCCTAAAACCCTCAACCGCAAAACCCTCAGCCCTAAAGCCCTCAACCCCTAAACATCCTAAAACCCTAAAACCTTAAACCCTCAACCCTAAAACCCTAAACCCCTAAAACCCTCAAACCCTAAAACCCTAAACCCCTAAAACCCTCAAACCCCAAGACCCTCAACCTAAACCCTAAACCCTAAACCCTAAACCCTAAACCCTAAACCCTGAACCCTAAACCCTAAACCCTAAACCCTAAACCCTAAACCCTAAACCCTAAACCCTAAACCCTAAACCCTAAACCCTAAACCCTAAACCCTGAACCTCCGAGGTTTCAAGCCTAAGGGCGAGGGCGAGGGCGAAGAGGATGAGGAGGTGTGCGGTCAGGGTTTAGGGTTTAGGGTTTTTTGGGTTTTAAGGGTTCTAGGGTTTTAGGGTTTTGGTTTTTACGGTTTTAGGGTTTTTGGGTTTTAGGGTTTTAGGGTTTTTGGGTTTTAGGGTTTTTGGGTTTTAGGGTTCTAGGTTAGGGTTTGAGGGTTTTTGGGCTTTCAGGGGTTTTAGGGTTTTAGGGTTTAGGGGGATGAGTAGACTGTTGAGGGTTTTAGGTAGGGGGTTAGGGTTTTGGGGTTTCGGGTTTCAGTAGGATTTAGGGTCTAGGCTTAGGACTTAGGGGTTTGGTGTCCCGCGGAAGTCTGTTGATTAACGGGTTGCGGGTTTAGGGTTTCGCGTCGAGGCTTGAGGGGGTATAGGTCTCCCCTCTGAGGCCTAAAAGAGGTGCTCCGTAGAATCCGTTTGAAGGAGGGGGGGGGGGTTACGAGGCCCCGATGCTTCCCTAACTCCCTATATCTCACAGTAAGGACCCCTGGTATACTTTGA